TGTGTGTGTGAGTGTGTGTGTGTGTGTGTGTATGAGTGTGTGTGTGTGCGCACGCGCGCGCGTGTGTGTGTGTGTATGTGTGTGTATGAGAGAATGTTTTATGTATGCTTTCGGTTGTACATGTATGTGTGTATATGTGTGTACGTATGTGTAAATGAGTGTGTTTTTGTGTGCATAATATGTTTATTAACACCATTCGTCCATGTGTGTTTGCTCCTGTGTACTTGGTATATTTGCTTTTGAATTGTGCCCGTGTGAGGTCTAGCAAATATGCTCGTACTTTTCGTGGATTTACTTGAGGAATGGAAAGGATTTGTGTCCACGTGTTAATTAAACATTTGATTACTCCATTCTGAATGAATGGTAACGTTTAAAAAAAAACGATTTTTTGTAATGAAAGAATGAATGTACTTGTAACTGAATGAGTGAGGGAATAAAATATTTAATTACTTAACACCGGATAGCTTGATGGATTGATTAGTCAATGGTAGGATGAATAGATGGACGGATTGGTGCATGGATATATAGATGGGTGGATGGGTGGATGGTTAGCTGAATGGGTGAAAATGTTCATTTTTGTATAGTGCGCATCTTTCAGGTTGTATGAAAGAGCCTAGTGAATAATATCTAACATAAAAGAGAAGGTAATGAATGGATGAATGAGACAACACATGCACTATAAAGCGAATGAGAAGCTGAGGAGAGGAGAAAGAAAGTGCGAGAATGATGTACGAGTCAAATCCAGGAAAACATTAAATGAACAAGTTTAGGAACAAGCAGAGGGAGGGAAACTGGGGTTGTGGGGTTAGATGGGTGTTGCAAAAATGCTGACAACAAATTGTAGTGGAACGGGTTACGCAGAGGCTGTAGTGCTTTCGCAGCGAAACCGGTCTCCCTATTACAGTAGCTTTATAGAGCAGGTATCTTGGATTCACTTACGATTCGATTTGATTGGCTTTTAATTCTGTGCTGATTGTCGTTGTACCGGTGGGGGCGGTGGTGGTGGTGGTGGCCGCCTGAGAAAGATGCCACTGTTGCTGCTGTTGCTGTTGCTGGTGATGATGGTGATGTGTAGGTGGTGCGTGCGTGATGGTGGTGGTTGTGGTTACGATGAAGATTTGGGGAT